TGTATCAAACTCTGAACTCACAGCTCTGTTCACTCAAATAACACACATCACAGACAGACACCATTCAGCTCTTCATATCTGAAAGGACTCCACAAACACCAAAACATCATTACAGAGAAAATTTTTAGATTTACTAATTTACAGTCATATGCAAAAGTTTGAGGACCCCTAATTAAATTATGTGTTTTGTTGATTTTCTATGTGGAAATAAGTTCAGTGAACACACATACACATGGCATTTTTCTGCCAATTTAGTGCATAACTTCTACATATTCACTGAGTGTAATATTTTGGGGGAAAATCCAAATCAATTTAATGTTAATTTCAGTAAACACACAGTAAATGTGCATTACATACAGTAAATGTGCAGAAAAGTGTTCTAATTGCACTATTGTTTATAATTGCACTATTTATACCCACAGACCTTAATCTGTATGTGCCTTATGTCAGTTTACTGTTAATTTATACTTTTTTAATTATTATTCTATTTTTCTAAAATTTGTGTTTTTTTAATTTTTATTTTTTTTATGATTAGTGTTTATTTAGTGTCTATTTAAATTCACACTTTTCCTGTTTACAGTCTATTTAATGTTATCGCTACACCATGGGGTCTGAGACTAACACAATTTCAATACTCTGTATGTCCTGTACATATTGTAGTATTGAAAATAAAAGCTGACTTGACTTGACTTGACTTGATGAGGTTATGATCTATTTAAACTTAAGGAATCATCATTTACAGTGCATTTTCTATTGGAATGGGTCTGTCTCAAACACTAAACCCTAAATTTACACATGGGAAAATAAAGTTTTTTTTTTAAATGTTTTTAACTTTAAAGATTTGAAAGTTTAATTTATAGATAAAAAAAATATTAATTATAAAATTCTGTCCTATGTTTTCATGTCACTACTGGAACACAAAGTTTTTAGTCCAATTGTGGAGCCTAAATTTAGCCACACCCCTGCATTTTACAGCAGGAAGTGAGACTGCATCCCTGACCCTCATGGCCACATGGTGAGCAGTCAGACCCCACTGTTTTGAAATAAATGTATCCCAAACTCTGAAAATCAGTGTGTGAAATTAAGAAAGGTCATTAGTGAAAAGCATTTTTTCTACAATTAAGTAAACTTTTTTACATTATTATAATATTATTTGTATTTTATATAAAAACAGTATTAAATAAAACAAAATAAATAAATAAATGAATAAACAAATAAATAAATAAATAAATAGTGTCACTCAAAGCAAAAGGAGTTTAGTCTAAATTCCAAGTCAGTAAAAAGTCTGAAATGGGTTTTAACTCTGACTTTGAACCGATTCAGTGTAATGATTCATATAGAGGAGAAACAGTTAATCTCTCTTTAAAATGAATCACACAGACGGTTCAGTATCATTTCTCTTTAATATAAATTGCTCAATATAATGATGTATTGATGTAAAACCTCAGTAAAAGCTGTAAAACCTCATAAATCTATAAAACTCACAAGCAGTCTCATCTACACATCATACCAACATAACCTCAAAAACACACACGCTTACAAAAATAAACATGGTCATTCTCACCGGTCAGCAGATATACAGATATATTCTATATAGAACCATGAACATTCAAAGAGCCCTTTACAGGATTAAAACTTTCTCTGCATCATCAAAGATTCTTCAGATTGATGGAGAACGTGCCGTTCTTGGTTCTATTTATGATCTTTTTGAAAAGCGTTCTTTACAGCACCAAAAAAAGCTTCTTTTACTGTTGCATCCAGCTGTTATGTCACGCTTGTATACAATAGAGGAACACTTTTAGGTGCTATGAGGAAAACTTTTCAAAGAGGTTCTATACAGAACCATAAACAACACATTCCACATCAATCTGAAGAACCATTGATGATGCAAAGAAACCTTTAATCCTGCAAAATGTTGAATGTTCATGGTTCTATACAGAACCATAGTCTTTACTAAAGAACCTGTGAAGAACAATGTCACGTGGTTTCTGCTACATATTCAGTAAAGAAGTTCAGTTTTATTTTTTATTACAGTGACAGTTTTTTCTTTCTTTCTCTTTCAAAATATCTCAGTTAAATGTCTCAGTAATAATAAAGTGATGATAATTAAAAACACTGTAAACAGTTGCTGTCACGCATTCGGCAAGCTGTCAAAGGAAAACAGACTCCATCTCCCAGAATCCCACAGGAGATCACGTCACTGCACAACTTCCTTCAGAGTTGGAGGAAGACACGGACTCCATTACCCAGAGTTCTAGGGGAACTCACGTGATCTCTGACTCACAGACGCGCTCTTATCCGAGATCTCAATCCTCTGAATACTAATATGTAGCTCCTGTGTATTTTGTCATATGACTCATGTTGTTTAGTTTAAAAGCCCGGGCTTTAGGTAGGATAGTTGCGAAGTATTGTTTCCTTGTGAACTACTGAGCGTTTGTATTCCGATTACCGATATTCTGTTTTTGACCACTGCCTTTTTGCCTAACCCTTCTGATACTTTTGCCCGTCTTAACTGATCTGTTAACCCTTTTGCCTGTTATTTGGATTACGTTTTTGCCTTGCCCTCACTGGTTTGTTCACTTGGTGTTATGCTCACCTTTCTTTTGTGTTTTTTGAACTTGACCCACGCCTGTTACTCGACCACGTCTTGGCCGTGTGTGATTAAAACTGCTGTTATCCTTTTAATTCGCGAGCGTCTGGTTTCTGTCAACGTGTTACAGAATACTTCGCCTCCCATGCAGACGGCGGATCTGGAAGCCTTACAAAAGGCTCTGAACGAGCAGGGACAACTCCTGGGTCGCCATCAGCAGGTTCTGACTGGAGTGACTCACTCCTTAGTCATTAACTCACCGACAGGCAGAACAACAAGCACAGCTGGCTCAACTTGTTGCTAGCGTGCAGGGATTGACGGGCCAGCTCCAAACCATGAGCCTCACGGAACCTGCAGTCAGCCCTGATCTACCCACGACAGCAGCCGCTTCAACTACCGCGGTTTTTCCAGTTAGTAAACCAGATAAGTGTCGCCAGTTTCTGCTCCAGTGTTCCGTTTAATTCCCCTGCCAGCTCCGACCAAGCCAAAATCTCTTTCATTGTGTCTCGTTTAGCGGATAAAGCTTTAGAATGGGCCACAGCCAGTTGGACCCATATTCAGCGTTTATCCTATAATCAATTTCTTAGAGAATTCAAAACTGTGTTTGATCACCCCTACGAGGGTAAGGTCAGCGGAGAGTTATTGTCTAGATTACGTCAGGGGAATCGTTCAGTGGTGGACTATTCGCTAGAGTTTCGTACTCTTGCAGCGAACAGTGGCTGGAATGAGGCGGCTCTCCTTGTGACGTTTCGCCAAGGATTGAATGCAGAGATCATTAATGAGCTAGCCACCAAAGATGATGACTTGACTCTCGATCAACTGATAAATCTGGCTATCAAGTTCGATCATCTTCTGACTCACAGAAGCAAAACCAAGTTGGTGAAAAGCCTTGGAAGGACACTTCCTCGAGTCAGCCCTGAGCATGGGGAACCAACCGAACCCATGCTGTGTGATTCCTCTCGGCTCACAGGAAGAGAGGCTACGCCGTTTAACCAACCAGCTGTGTGCTTTATATTGTGGCAAGGCGGGACAGCAAGTTCGCGAGTGCCGCGCCAGACCACAAAAAAGCAAGGCGCAGACCCCTGGACAGGGGGTGAGTGTGCCCACAAAGGGGTTGGTTTCAAAATCATTCATGTTACCTGTTTTCGTATACTTTCATCCCCATTCTCATTTCAGCTTTAATCGATTCCGGGGCAGAAGGAAACTTCATTCATGCCAGGCTCGTAGAGGAACTTCAGGTTCCAGTGGAAAATCTCCAGAGTGTGCTGAGGGTGGCCGCACTAGATGGAGGACCTGTTGGAATGGGGACCATATCCAAGGTCACAGCACCCCTGGATTTACAGACTAGTGCCCTTCATAAAGAGACTTTGTCATTTCTAGTCCTCGAACAATCCGAATTTGAGTTAATCTTAGGACTCCCTTGGTTAGAGAAACACAACCCCATCATCTCATGGGTCAACCACAGTATCACCAAATGGTCAGAGTACTGTCACCAATCATGCCTTTTAAACCCTGCCATATCAGTGTTGTCCACGTCCATAGAAAGCCCCAACGCAGACTCCACATTTGAAATCCCTCCGGAGTACCTTGATTTAAAGGAAGTTTTCAATAAACAGAATCCCAGCTAACAAAATTACGTTCTCAGAATGTTCCCCTAATGTTCCATTTTGGTTGTGGGAACGTTGCATTGGAATGTTCCCTCAATGTTATTCTGTGCAGTTTTCTTAATGTTCTCAGAACGTTTTTCTTAAGTTATGGGAATGTTCCCAAAACGTCACCTCAACCTCATTTGCAACAACAGTTTAACATTCTAGGAACGTTGTCTTGGAACGTTCTGACAACATTCAAAGTTATGTTAAAACATTCAGGTTACAAGAATGTTCCCTAAACATCAACCCAACCTCATTGGCAACAATTTAATGTTCTAGGAATGTGGTCTTGCAATGTTCTGAGAATGTTAAAACATTCCTATAACATTTAATTATGATGATATTGTTGCTAATTTTAAAAAAGGCCATTTTAGTGTTTCCATAACATGTTTCTTAAAACCAATGCCCCAGATTATTACCTCAGCTTTATATACATTGACCACTGAACATTCCTGGAATGTTATCTTTATACGTTCTTCAAAGGTTTATAGTTCCAGTTTTCTTAATTTTCTTAGGACATTCGGTGCAAGTTAGTAAAACATACCCTAAAACATCTTCCCGATATTTGTGTGCAGCCAGCAGTACACAGCGTCAAAAGTTCAGATTTTTTATGTTACTTTAACATTCCATTAACATTTTCTCAGTCTGTAATGTTAGTCCCTCCCATCCACATTCCCATTCGTTGCTGATAGTCTAATTCAAACAATCCCAATTACTATGATAATACTGACATAAACTAAGGCAAAATCAATGCAAGCATAATCGATGTAATACATGTTTATTATTATTACTAATATTATAAATCAATTCAAGTGAATGAACAAAAAATGAAAAAAGTAGAGAAGTCCATTAAGGCGTCTGTGTATTCTCCACCTGCAAAGTAAACAAACAGGTTTATTAGTTATTTTTTCACCTTTTTCAGTTCATGTAAAGCATTGTTAAACTCTATCCAAGCCATTCTGGGCAGCTAAACACAAAGCTTCCTTTAGGTTGCAGTCTTTGATCAAGTCAAGTCAAGAGGCATTTATTGTCATTCCGTCTATGTACAAGTACACAGTGGAGTGAAATTACGTTCCTCCAGGAACAACAAGGTGCAACAAGGAACAAAGTGCGAACGTGCAGACGTAAGTGTGCAAACAAAAATTAAGCTAGAAACAATACAATAAATAAGATAAACAGACATTTGACACAGTAAACAGACAGGACAGTGCAGCACTGACACAGCACACATTCTGGACATGAGGTAGTGTAATAAGGTGCAGACATATTTAACATGCTGTGATCTGTTAGTTACGCAGTCAGATAACAAACATAACCACAGCAGTTTCTGAGGTAGTAAAACAGTGTAAACACAGTATAGCAGCAATGTTCCAGATAGTGCAAGTAGAGCATCAAAAGAGGTGTGTGTGAGTGTGTTAAGTGGGGGGGGTGGTTTAATCAAATGTGCAAGAGGTGCCTGTAGCTCTTATTTTTTTCATTGTTGAATTCCTCGCATGTGATAGGATGGCATTGCACAGCAGATGTTTAAATAATGTTGATAAGTACTGAGGGCCTTCTTAGTTTCAAGGTGTTTAATTGGCGTGTACAGTGGCCTTAAAGTTGAGTATAAAATACGAGGATTGTGGAACAGTAAAAAATTCCAAGCCTGGATTTATAACACTGTTATCAGAAACCTCCACTGCAATGTTTAAAAACACTTTCTGACATATACGGGTTATGAGCTACATTTTATGTTGCTATTTAAATTCTGAACAAGACCTCTGCAATGCTTGGGAAAGTTAAATACATATATGCCCATGTTAAAAAATTCTATAAACGGAAGGAACCAAACTGTTAGTAAAAGACTACACTGCATTGTTGAAGAACACCTCCAGAGAACGCAATTCATGTAATTTCACAGTCTGAATTTGGTATTGCAGTGAAGTTCCCTGTTAAAAGCTTGATTCGAATATTTTATGAAAACCAAAATATAATATGTAATAAAACTTTAATTCTTACATTTGGGAAAATGTAATTCGAAACTGAAAGTAAAATTACACAAAACTTATTCTATGTGTATCTGGGGAGGTGTTTTTCAACACTGCAGTGGAGTCCCTGATAACATCTTGATTTCAATGTTTTATAAAATTTTAAAAGCTGCCTTATTTTTAATGAAACTGGATTTTTCAGAATCTTAAGCAAAGATTATTCAAAATTACCTAAATTCTTTGCAAAACCAAGGGGTTTAATGTAACTGCAGTCTGTAGTAGGGCTTCATCAATACCAATTACTTGTACTCTTACTCATACAAATTTACAGATACCAACGTCTGGTACCAGCTGATGCCATGTGACATAAGCATAGTATATGCTGCCATACTAATGAACAAATGACTCAAGCTGGCAGTGCAGAGGGTCTGCTTACACAGTGAAGTGTTATAGGCTACGTTCACAAGGCAGATTAAAGTGGCCCAAATCCGTTCTTTTCCGTCATATGTGACACAGATGTGTTATCTGTGTGGCAGTGTAAACGGGGGAAAAAAAAAACAAAAAACATATTGAATCTGACATTGAAATCAGATATGTATCCGAATTGTGGTAATGGGACTCTGTCTGAACAACCAGATCAGAATTCATGTGATGCAAACATCAATCCAACTCAACTCTGAATGAGTTGTAGTATTCTGTGATAGTCATAGTATGAGCTGTAAAAATGTGAGTATTGTTTATCTTTCAGAGTTATTTAAAAGTAGAAACCAGACAGATAAGTGCCACTTTCATTTTCTTGTCAAAATAGTAACCTCTCTGGCGGCAGATTTAAACCAGTTACAAAAAGAAAAAAAGCAGGCATGATGAACTGGAGAAAGTGGTTAAGCAAGTGGCTGTTACCGTTGACTCTGGATGAGTGTGTCATGTGAAGTGAGGCATTATTCTTTTGGGCATGTGCATCAGTTTAGGAGCGTGAACTGTTCAGAGGAATGTCAGCAATAGATCGCATTAAAAAGATAATGTGAACGACCTAAAAAAAAAAAAAATCAAATTTGGTGAGAAAATCGGATTTGGGCCACTTTTACCTGCTGTGTGAACACGGCCTTGAACACGTGTGTGTCACGCTAGCAAAAGTGGATCAGACACAGCAGTGCTGCTGGAGCTTTTAAACACTGTCACTGCTGGACTGAGAATAGTCCACCAACCAAAAATATCCAGCCAACAGCGTCCTGTGGGCAGCATCCTGTGACCACTGATGAAGGACTAGAGGATGACCAACACAAACTGTGCAGCAACAGATGAGCTGTCTACAAGGTGGACCAACAAGGTAGGAATGTCTAATAGAGTGGACAGTGAGTGGACAGTGTTTAAAATCTCCAGCAGCACTGCTGTGTCTGATCCACTCAGACCAGCGCGACACAGTAACACGCCACCAAGACGTCAGTGTTACTGTAGTGCTGAGAATGATCCACCAGGCAAATAATATCTGCTCTGTGGTGGTCCTGACCATTGATGAACAAGGTAAAGGTGGGATAAATTATACAAAGATACAGACAGACTACAGTCTGTAATTGTAGAACATAAGTAGACCAGGACCAGAGTGTTTTAAAGATTTAGGGACAGCCTAGAGTGTAACATCTTTCTAGAAGAAAGGAAACAGCAAAGGTATGACTTACCCTTGATCCCCAGTGTGTAGCATATTTTAAGGTGTCCCCAGTACATTCTTTGAACACCTTGGACACCACCGGCAAGCCTCTAAAAAACAAACATCATATTATACAAAGATATGCTTTTTTATAGAACCTTCTTTTTTATGTCTTTTTACTCCCAATATATTTGCTGAAAATTCCTGTCATAATCCAGCCACCATTCATGTTACCATACTACAGTGAGGTGAAACAAGTATTCAGACACCTTTGTTTTTGTTACTTAATATACTTATAGTGCATATATCCACTTCGAATTGATACACAATGCCTTTTGACACTGTATTGACATAACTCTTTTGGAACAAAAATACAACACTCTGAGTGGTTTCAGTGGTAGACAGACCTCAGAAAGTTGACATGGGTGAAGCTGGTTTCCTAGACGCATTTTCCAATTCTACCTTAAATGGTGCAGCAGGTCATTCTGGCGCCTGAATGGAACTGCTGCACCATTTACATGGAACGTCAAAGTTTGAACAACAACGGCTTCCTAAAGATGAATTCCAGGACATGGAGGCGTTTATTTTCAATTGTCCATTTACTCAAGCTAAAGTACACGTAAAGTAACTAAAAGGCGAAAAGCCACGTGGGTAACAGAAAAAACTAACGGGCAGCTCTTTCTCTCTCTCTGTATCTCTCTCTTTCTCCCACTCACAGAAAAAATGACAATTGAGGCGCGCGCCCGCACACATGAATGTGAACCCCTAAACCCCTTGCTTACCTGTAAATTAGTCCTCTCTAATTCTCTTTCGGTTCTTTTTACAAAACAGCGATTATAGCCTTTTTTCTGCTCTCATCTAACCTTACTGAAACAGAAAACGGCGTGAATCAGCGTGTACTTGTACAATATTATACAACAGTTAGTTCGCCTGCGACCAAATCACAGCCGTGATGTTATTTCGCGATAACACACTCCACACTCCTCTATTGCTTAAATAAAGCTTAGCTAAATTTGTTTCAGTGATGCTCGACAAGAGTAAACCTCACATTATCTTGCTTGTTGAGAACTTATAAATGTTAATTGATATGTTCAAGATAAACACCTGTGTCTGCAAGATTTACATTTTTATTTGGTTTATTTGGCTGAAATTGGCTTACTTTTCACCAGCTTCTTCTTCGAATTTTCCAGTTCCACCTTTAAATAAAAAAAAAAATGTCCACCTTTAATGGTGCAAGTTATTATAACGCCTCAGGCACAAAGAACTGCTGCACCATTTAAGGTGGAACGAGAAAATTTTATGCTAGCATATCTTAACATTAATGCATACACTTATTTTTTTCCTCATTTATAGGCATTTATCTCTGCAATTAATGTACCTTGGCGATTTTATAATTTTATTAGCTACATTTACTAGTTATGAGTTATTTTTGTATTACTAAACGTATCAAGCCCATCACTAATATAAAGTTAGCAAGATAGTTAACCTAGTTAGCTAACCTAACTAACTTAATGTTGGCTAATATTAGCTAAGTAGCTACATTAGCTAAATGGCTAGCGGTTAAATTGAGATAAATTAAAAGGTAGCTAACGTTAGCTAACATACTAAATCCGTGGGACACCTTTATAGAATGCATTACAAGCCTTTATATAAACCTTAACACAAGCAACATTGACAAAAAAAGTATTTTACTCTCCACTTCTTACCTTGTAGTTAAGTAGGCTGGCAGGCGCCCCTCTGGAATAAACCGGAGAAGACTGGCTGCAACTGGTTTAAACTAGTTCAGTCTGCTTATTTAACCGCTGAATCTCCGTCACCATGGCAACAGTACTCAAAACAGGCTGTGGAAAACTCATTGTTTCTAGTAACAGCAGTTTCAGCTTTTAATGTAGTTTTTATTAAATGCAGTCAGGAAAAAAAAACTAAGAAAAGTAATAGCTTATCTTAAATCTATTATTGAATTAAATATTATGTTAAGCAAAAAAGGTCCAGTAGAACACAATGGATTCAGTTTTCAACTGTGCACCTCATCATCTAAAAAAATGGATGTAAAACAGTTGACTAATGTTTCCTAATATGTATCTAAAGAACATTGTGCATACAGTCCTTTAAACTATTTATTAAAAAAAAAAAAAGTTAAAAGAACGTTCCTTTAACGTTACACTGAGAACGTTTCAGACTAACATTGTGAGAACTTTGATCAAGGTCACATAACGTTTACAGAACGTTCTATTGACGTTATTGTGAGAACTTTTGCTCCTAACATTAGGAGAACCTTTACATAACGTTAGTCAAAGTTGTGGGAACGTTCCCTGTTAGCTGGGATGCCACCAAACTGCCTCCCCATAGACCCTATGATTGCTCGATTGAACTTGTAGAAAACCCTGTTTTACCAAAAGCCAGAGTTTATTCCTTTTTCAGCCATCCCTAGTGCTTTTCAGACTGCCGAAGCCCTGTTCCAGCATGTATTCAGAGTGTTTGGTATCCCGGAGGATATCGTATCGGACAGGGGACCTCAATTCACATCACAGGTATGGACGGCATTCTTTGAACATATTGGGGTCTCAATTAGTCTGTCATCAGGATATCACCCACAGTCAAATGGACAGTGTGAAAGGGTGAACCAGGAACTGGGGAAATTTTTAAGACTTTTTTGTCATGAAAACCCGTCTGACTGGGCTAAGTTTTTAGTATGGGCCGAGATCGCCCAAAACTCTTTAACAATCTCTACCACAGGAATGACTCCTTTCCAGTGTATCTTAGGTTACCAACCACCGCTACCTCCCTGGACCGGATCTCAGACAGAAGTACCGGCCGTGGACTCATGGATGACATGGCGTGAACAAGTCTGGGAGGAGACACACCAGCGCATAGAATCAGTTCTGCTACATCATAAGGAACAAGCAGATCGAAACCGAGGACCAACCCCCATATTCCAGCCTGGGGACCGAGTATGGTTGGCCACAAGAGACTTGCGTAGCTCTGAGGGAAGTTGTAAGAAACTTCAACCTAAGTATATTGGACCTTTCAAAGTTTTGAAACGTATTAATGATGTAACCTACAGATTGTTTTTAGTTTAGTTTTTAGTGTTTAGTTTAAAAGCCCGGGCTTTAGGTAGGATAGTTGCGAAGTATTGTTTCCTTGTGAACTACTGAGCGTTTGTATTCTGATTACCGATATTCTGTTTTTGACCACTGCTTTGTTTGTCTGGATTCTGCCTTTTTGCCTAACCCTTCTGATACTTTTGCCCATCTTGACTGATCTTTGTTTTTTGAACCCTTTTGCCTGTTATTTGGATTACGTTTTTGCCTTGCCCTCATTGGTTTGTTCACTTGGTGTTATGCTCACCTTTCTTTGGTGTTTTTTGAACTTGACCCACGCCTGTTACTCGGCCACGTTTTGGCCTTGTGTGATTAAAACTGCTGTTATCCTTTTAATCCGCGAGCGTCTGGTTTCTGTCAATGCGTTACAATTGCTGTAATTTCTACAGCAAATATTTACAATAACATCCTGTATTCTGAAATTACTGTATATCACTGTATTCTGCTATGGTTTATGGGAGCTGCTGTCCTGTCTTAACAGTTTATTGTAGAATTTACAGCAAGTTCATGAACGCGAAAGGACTTCTGGTATGGCCAATGGATGACTTCTGAAAGTGGAGGTTTGAACTAGGATTGTGGCGCCTCATTGGACCTGGTGTTCACTAAAACAAGTACGAATTATTCTTATCATTACCTATTCTTTATTCTTGTCAAACAAATGAGCTTATGTTTGTAAGGTTTGCTTTATCTCAGACCTCTGTAGCTGAGAGCGTTTGCTTTCTGTGACTAATAGTAATCATGTCTGGAGAACCTACGTTCTCTGAAGTTGCTAAGCCAGCACAGCACAGCAACTTTAATGCTATAGCTAGCTAGCTATCTAAGTTACAACAAGATATGTGATTAAAGGTGGCTGTTTAAGTTAGATTCCTCAACGCGTTTGTTAGATGTATGATGTGTTCCGTTGCTAAAAGTTAAGCTAAAATTAACGACTTCTGGAATTGGAGGTTTGAAAGGATTGTGGTGCCTCATTGGACCTGGTGTTCACTGAAACAAAGTCTTTAGCTATAATGTATATTGTATATTCTGGTTTTACTTCGCCTCAGACATCACAAGCTTTCGGGAACTTGTTCTCTCCATGACCATTTGATTCGCTTTGGTTCTTCTGCGGATTCTCAGATTCTCTGAGCTAGCTAAGTAAGTAAGCAAGCTAACGCTAGCTAGCTAACTAGCTTTAACAGCACACCTTATACACTTCGGCCGCATCATGTGAATAGCACCGTTTTTTTTTAGTGCCTTGATGTCTTATCGATTCATCCGTTAACGTTGTCACTTTGCATTACAAATGCAATTTAGCGTTTAAGTGCACAAAGACGTGTAGCTAGAAAATAAACTATGATAGTCACACATGCTTGTGTTAATGTGGCTTGCTATCATAAGCTACCTTTTGTTGAGGGGCGTTGTGGTCTTTTTCAGGCTTACTGTGGCCAACGTGCATGCACCTTTGCTGTAGTTAGTTGGCCCCTTTATTAGTTCCATTTTTCTTTCCTTTCTCTACAAAATGTTTATTTGCCAACTCTGTTATCATGAAAGCAGTACAATCTTACTTTTTGCTCAGCTTATGAAATTGCACAGAAATGCTCCTAATCCTGAATTTAGATGTGGCGTGCCTGATTGCCCATGTGTTTTCAAGAAGTTTACTGCATTAAAATCTCACATATACAGAGGTCACAGTGTTCATCACAGGTATGCTAGGGATACCCAAAGTCAGGTTCAGGATACAACATTGAAATGTCAGGTAGACTTTTGTCAAGTCAAATGTGGGAATTTAACACAGTTTTTGTCTCATTTGAAGAATCATATCCTATCAGGTTTGGAAATCATGTGTCCATTTTTGGCATGTGGTCAGAAATTTAGAGTGAAATCAACATTTGCATCATGTGTCTCAAAATCACAAAAACTGTTCTGTCAGCAGTCTTATCAATTCTGTTTTGGACAGTGAAGTTTCAGGTTCTGGCTAGCATGAATATGTATTGATATCTGAAAATGAAAGATCAGAGGATTTAGGGGAAGCTATTCTTGGTGATGTAGATGAATCTCTGTTTTTGAGGAATTTAACTCTTTTCTATTTGAAATTACAAGCTAAATTGTTGCTTCCAGAGTCTACTATTCAAAGTATTGTTGAGGAATTTCAGAGTATTCATGACATTGGTCAGTCATATTTACTTGCTAAACTAAGCGAGAAGTTGACTTTGCTTGAAGTATCAGAGGAGAAAGTTAAAAATTTGGTTGATGATTTGACCAGGGAGGATCTTCTGAAAGTGTGTAATAATGGAGTTTTGAGTACAGCCCAGAGAAGAAAGACAGCTTTCAAGTCTGATTTCCATTATGTTGAACCTGTGCCTCTTTACCTAGGAAACAGTGAGTCAGGGAAGGAATGTTTTGCTCAGTATGTCCCTATAAAATAAACAATTGCAACTCTGTTTGAATGTAAGTCAGTGAGGGAACAGTATGAACAAGTGCATTCTCAAACAACAAAACCTGGCATATTCCAGGATGTAAAGGATGGCAAGAACTTTTCTGAAAATGTTTTATTTCAGACTGACCCATCAGCTCTGAGCTTAATTATTTATCAGGATTCCTTTGAAGTGGTCAATCCATTGGGCTCAGCAAAGAAAAAACACAAATTGCTCGCAGTGTATCTTACTTTAGCTGATATTTTGCCTCATAACAGATCAAATGTAGACCACATGCAACTTGTTCTTCTGTGTAATGAGCAACATTTTAAGTACTTTTGGCAAGACCGATTTTTGAGATCACTGATTGAAGATCTCAGAGATCTTGAACACAATGGCATTGTTCTAAACAATGGCAAAATACTAAGCGCTGCCTTGCTTGCGATTATAGGTGATAACCTGGGATCCCACACTATTGGAGGTTTCATGGAGAGCTTCAGCCGGAGCCTACATTTTTGCAGGTACTGTGATATAGATAGGGGCACATTTCAGTCCACACCTCTAGAGACAGGCATTAAACGAACTAGAACATCTTACCAGAACAGTGTTCAGTAACTCACAGATAGTGGCAGTGATGTTGTATATGGGATCAAATTTGACTCCCCTTTTAATAAGTTGAAATACTTCCATGTATGCTAGCCTGGC